TTGAATTCTATGAATCTATAGAATTCAAAGAAAAAAAAGTTTATCAAATTTGGCTTGATAATTACTGAGATATTTTCACTCAAAGTTTTAAAAAAAGTTAAATCTGCAGGGGGGTATAAATATTAAATCTGGGGGGTATAAAAATTGGGTCCCTACGAAATAATGCATAATTTATTAAGTGAGTAAATCACATGAGTTAACGTTAATGGATATCTTTTTACGCGGTTCCTCCCAAAAATGACTTTATAATATATCAAAAAAAAACCATTCAATTGTTCATTAAAATAATATAGTAATATTTATTGTACAATGTATAAATTTATATAATACGAATAATTTAAAATCTATACAGTATTATATGTATATTTTTCCTTCACGAAAATGGATCTATTACAATTCAACGAGATTTATCGAGTTATTTTGAATAGTAATAATTCATTGTTTATAAACTCATTGTTTGAATAACACACGTACCTTAGAAACTTTAATAATAGTGTTTAGCCAGTCGAATATTTTAAAAGTTTGTTATAGTTTACTATTCACAAAAAGATATATATTCTTTTCAATAACATAATGTTACTAAATATATAGTAACAAATCGCCTTAAAGAATTCTTAAACTTCAAAATACATATATGCCGTAATAATAATAATAGGAAAAAAAAAAAAAAAAAAAAAAAGAAAAAAAATAAACAAATTTTCATTACTACTACTTATATATGTTACTACTTTTACTATGGGGTGGAAAATGATGTATAAAAAGGGTTTTGAAAAATTATTCTTGTATTAGGAATAATTCTCTTACAAAACTATATACTATACAAATATGCTATATAAAATATGCTTGCCATTAAGCGCAAGAAATATATGTGAAAGAAATCTAATAAAATGTGCATGAAAAAAAGTAATGCTAGAAATGACCGTGTAATTTACAGGCATTTCACCAGCACATATATATAATAGATAACCAACGCATCTTAAAATACGTCCAACTCTAAAGTTACAACCGAAAACAGCAATGTTAAATTTTTTAGATGGCAATGACGAGATACTTGCAAAACTAATTCACGTTGTGAAAAAAGGTGTATATTACAAAAAAACAAAAAAAATAAAATAAAATAAAGAAAAAATGTTCGTTATTATTATTATTATTAAACACATGTATTTAGTTGCCATTGCTAGCCGCACTTGGACCTGAATTATTTGTTGATCCAATATCATCTAATAACTCGAGGTTAAGAATATCGCCAATATCAAGTGAATTATCAGTGGTTCCAGCACCAGTTCCGAGAAAATCATAATTCAAATCCTCAATTGGCAAATCAAATTGCGCAGCAAAACTCGCAATCTACAAAAAAAAAACATAATAAATATATATATGCTTCCATACATTTAAAAATGAATCTAGCCATTATACGTAACTCTCAATATTATGCCAGGTTGTTTGTGTATAAGTGGAAATAAACCTCACTTATACCAACAACCATTATTAATGGTACAATAATTTACATACCTCCTCTAAATTCGTATTGAGATTCGTATTGAGAGAAGAAGATTGCATATCTTGTTGAGAATTAATAGAAGTCATTACTCCCGATGATGGAGTTGGTGCACTTTGCTGTGACTGTGCCTGTCCATTTGAAACTACCATCTGTTGTGGCGTGGTTGCAGCGATGGAAGAGCCGCCACTCGACTGCTGTTGTTGAGTCTGAGATGGCGTGGGCTTTTGAGGCTTAAAATAGAAAAAAAAAAATAAAAATAAACAAACGATATATAATGAGTAATAAAGACAACAAATCTCACCTTTACTACCTTATTATTTTCAGTTCTATTCTTTTGAGCTTGCTGATGAGCTTGTTGCTGTTGCTGATTATTTGCTGCTTGAGGTTGTTGAAGTATTTGTTGCTGCTGCTGCTGCTGCTGCTGTTGTTGTTGTTGTTGAAATTGGTGTAACATTTGCATTTGTTGAAGAGTATTCATAGGTCGCATTGCAACATTCATCTCGGAAATGCCGCGCTAAAATAAATAAATACATTTAACAAGATCGATTTTTTATTTTCTAATTAGGAATTATCCAAAATGTAAATTTTATGACAAACCTGTTGTTGTTTATATTTATCTATTGAGTTTTGATCCATACCACTAAGAATATTTTGAGAGAATTTTTGTGCGTTAGGATCATTAGGCCTCATTATTGTCCGCTGCATTATTAAGTTGTTTGGATATGAAACCATTCCGGCCATTCCCATTCCACCGTAATTTTGCATAATGGTGCCAGGGATGTTCGGTCGAATAAGATTGGCTTGGTTAATCGCGTTTTGCATCGGTATTGCATGTAAAGGATTGTTGTGAATGTTTGCGTTGGGATCGTGAGGATTTTTCATTTGAAGGTTAACCTGGTTCATCAGTTGTGGGTCCTGGATGTCATGCGAATTTTGCAGAGATTGCAATGGATTTCCATGTGGCGATATCGATTTATTATTAATATTCTGTGGCTGTCTCATTTGCATTTGCGGGGTAGGGGCACTCTTTGGTTTTCCATTTTGAAGTGGGGTCTGGCGGTTATTAGATTTAAGTTCCGGGGAAGAAATGTTTGCGTTCGCAAGGGGCTATTGAGATTATGAATAAAACTTTTGTCCTAATACATTGCCAAACTAATATTTTAAATCATTTATAAAACCTAATACGCACCGTGGTTAATACCATATTATTTTGCTGTCCAATTGGTAACTGAGCTTGCTGATTTACTGTGCCAGGTCGTTGCGCCGCGACATCTGAGATTAATCGAAATAAATAAATTAATTAGAACAAATATATTAAGTTATAAGAATCAATACTACAATAGCTTACTTTGTAAGTAATTAGATTCGTTCATTCTCGCTCTCTTTGTAGGTGATGATAAAGGCTGATTCACTCCCTCGTTATTACGTTTCAAAGAAGGGTTAGCCTATTTATCAGAGAGTTCGATATTTTTAACGGCAACTATTTAACAACTCTATGGTGGTTGGACTCTGCTTATTCATATAATTTATATATACCTGTGTTGGACCGGGCTGGGCCATATGTACTTGTGCGGATCCAGATACCACAACCTGAGCTTGATTATCACGTTGTTGTTGTTGTTGCTGCTGCTGCTGTTGCTGCTGCTGCTGCCGCTGAAACAACATTACTTGGGATGTAGGCGTTGATGGTTGTTGTGATTGGCTAGGAAGTGCGTTTTGAGCTTGGACCATCGCTGCGTTTTGTAACATACTTTGCTGCATTTGTAAAGGTATAACTCTATTCCCTCCAGGAATTGCTTGCATTTGATTCATCATGCCTCCTCTATTTACAAATTAAACGGATGTAAGATGATGTAAAGAATTCAATACAAAATTTCAATTAATACTTACTGTATCAGTCTTCCACGAAGCATGCTGTTGTTTACCTTTATCTGATTTTGATTAGTTGCTTGTGGACTCATAGACATTATGTCACCGTTGGCATTTGCATCAAGAGACACGCCATTTTGCATATTTTGTCGATTGAATTGGGCTTGTTGTTGTTGATGTTGAGCAGGTGATTGTTGTGGTTGTTGTGTAGGTTGAGATGGCTGCTGCTGGGATTGTTGTGGAGGTGGTTGCTGTTGCTGTTGCTGTTGCTGTTGCTGCTGTTGCTGTTGTTGAGCAGCTTGAGCAGCTTGTTGTTGAGCTTGGTGCTGTAATTGTAGTCTCTGTAATTGTTGAGCGGTAACAGCTTGTTGGGCATTTTGACCAGAAAGTTGCGGAAAAGTTACGCCGGGTATCTGATTTAACGAATCATGCATCAGTCTCATACGATTTCTACTATTCCTCATTTGCTTTAAATGAACAGATTATTTAAATGTTAAAGATTAAAATTCTAAATAGTTGAAAAGATAAATGTAATAGATATTTACCTGATCTACTACATAGCGATGCGCGTCAGCAGTTCCAGGACGATTTAATTTTGCACTATATATATCCCAAAAAACAGTCCACCATTCGTATAGAAAACCTTCAGGTGCTTGTACAGGTACATCGACGTCAGGTAACGGTGTGTTATCATTATCAGAACTTGAACTTCCGTTTATTGAATTTGCGGTACCGTCATTTTTAACACAGTTCTGAAAATCACCTTCTCTTAAATAAGCTTTTGCTGTTTCTGTAGCACCACTGCGTTTTAAGAAATCGTATACGTAAGCATTCAACAATCTTTGTTCCCTCTTTATATGCATGCCGTTCCTCTGATTTTGGTCAACTTGTGAGTGAGCGGATAACAGCTGTTGCTGATTCTGTTGCTGCTGCGTTTGAGAAGGCTGTTGGCCCTGGGGTGGCTGCTGAGTCTGAGTTTGAGGTGGCTGTTGTGTGGATTGTTGCTGTTGTTGTTGCATTTGTATATGGAGTAAATTTGTCGGTAACATTTGAGATTATGTATCGTCGTTGAAATGGATTTTTTTGTTTCTAAGAGTGATTTACAGTTTTACAGTTCAGCGAATGAGTTATTGAAAATAAAATCCGGATAAAATTATTCGGATTAAAATTAGAAGACGGATGTAGAGTAAAAAAAAATAGTGAGAAAATAAGAAGTAAGGTGACTGATTGTTGTTATATAAGCTATCTAATATAAATTATTTGATATATATTATAAAAGATGATTTATAAATTGTTTTACCTGTTTTATGTGAAATAAAAAAAAAAAAATTACGAAAAAAAACAAATTTTTTTTCCTCAGTATATCAAGTCTTATATGGTATAAACTGTTGGTATAACTGAAAAAAACTGGATATAGAAAAAAAGGAGAACAAAAAAATTTGTGTGTGAAAAAAAAATAAAAAAATAAAAAATAAAATAAAATAAAAAATAAAAATTCGCTAGTTATTGGACCTGGAAGTACAAACCTACCTTTTATATGGATATGAACTATCTGTAGGTGTCTCCGAGGTGAATACGTGTAGTTTAGAATACGTTTGGGGTAAAAAATAAAGCAGAGGAGGCTATTAAAAATGAATTCCGTGCTATCGGCTAAGAATTTATGAATGAAGTGAATGATTAGGCGTAAAATGAAAAAAAGGAAATTGGGGGGCGAACATTAGTGATACAAACTGATTGAATTGACACAACAGGGATTTTTCTTGAATGATCAACCCCAAACTGTAAGAATATGATCAGATAGTCTATATTTTTTTCACGAGAGGTCTATTATAGAAATATTCGGCCTATTGTGGACCAATGATGGAGTCGTAATGAGATACACAGCGTAAAGTCTCATCGACGAACAATGAAGTCATTTTGTTCCTTTAAGATCTGATGACTTTGCCATTCAACAAAGAAAGTAACGTCTTAAGTTTGCATCAAAGTGCTGGCTAAATCTTCAAATCTACCATCTATCTAATTGAATTTTATATATTTTATAGCATTTAAATGATAATGATAAAGTAAGATGGTTTTTAACCCCTTTTAATCGTCACATCGATTTCTATCCGTTCAATGTGCGACAAAAATTTATTTAAAGGGTCGCTTGCTCTCATACTTTAACGCTAAAAGCAGTTTGGGTAAAATTTTTTTTTTTCTTTTAAAAACATTATATTGACTTGAGAAGCGTGGTCAAAAAACATGTTTTAATTATTTTATTACCTGAAAAAATCATCGTTTTTTTAAGGCTTATTATGTATTATCGTTATTTATATTTATATTAATGTAAATAAATCTGGCTTCCTACCACGTTCAATATGTATCTCGAAGAAAAGATACATGAATACACCTCTCACGGTGCAGATACGAATCCGTTTAATGTATATATAAAATGAAAGCCATAATAACTTTGGCTTTTATCTTATAATGTGGGAGCTTAAAAACAAACTTCGTAACTCTAACAGCAAACAATTCAAAATTTCCAAACTATGGAAAAATAATTGCTGAAATCTTTAACAAATAAATATGATTCTGCTATAAACAATGGTTCATTTTTTAAATTTAATAAGTTTTACATAGTTGACGAACTTCAAAAATACCAGTACCGCCTTGTACAACTTTGCCAAGTACCAATCTTGCCGATGGCGAATTTAATGTATCAGTAGCATTATTAAGCGTTGCATGAGTCAAGAAATTGCAAGTAGACTCAAAACTCATCTGAAGAAAAGGTGATGAATTAGATGCAAGACCCATTCGGTTAAACGGTTTAAACGTTCCTTCAAAAGTCTTTAAATAAAGTGATCCAATAAATTCAAGTGTTAAAAATATCTGCAATCGCCTTAGTAACAACAGTGATAACTTACCATATAATCCGCAACAAGTGTCAAATGCCTTGGGTCTACGTTTATACTGTACGCTGCAAATACATCTGATATCTCTTTCATTATAGCCCCTCTTGCAGCTTCGACCCCGTAGTTTTTGAGAATAGCGGCGATATCATTAGAATAAATTTTGTTAATGTCGATTATGTCATCATATAACCATATTTGACGAAAATTAACTCCTTCAGTCGCAATAGTTTTCTAAAAAAGATATAATGTAAGCAAATGACTAAAATTTTAAACAATTGTCAGTTTAGAACTTCGAGTGTATCTTACTGATGTATCTCCCTCAATATCACTCGTGATTGGATAACTTTTGTTAATTCCACTAACTTCACGGATAACGGTCTTTTTACATGCATCTTCAGCTAGGCTTAGCAATAACAATTTTTTGGAATCAGCGGGAAACTAATATACAAGAGGATAAATTAATAATAATTGCAACTTTCGTATAAATAACAGTTAAAATAATACCTGCAATTCTATATCACACCAACGTGAATTGGTATGGTCAAACTGGTAATCGGTGACATAGGTTGAAGACTCCACGATTTTGTCCCGTAAATCTGATCTTTTAGTTTTATCTCGCAACTTAGAGAATAACTCTTGTGATTGGTCCGTATCGTCATCCATATCTTCTGTCCGCTCATCACCTTCATCCGTTTCTGAGTCTTCATTGCGAAATGCAAGGTCATTTTCCTTAATGATCTCAAGATCATCATCATCCGGTCCATCGTAGGTCGCAAACTGTTTGGCTTTAGAATTTATTCTTGCATTAGTAGCATCGCCATCACCATCATCAGATTCTGTAAAAGTAGGCCAATCATGGTCAAGTAATCGTGACAATTGTTATAAAAGCCGTCAAACTTTCAATACATGTAATTACCATCTCCACCAGCATTAATCGGTTCATCTTCGTCAAATATAACATCTTTTCTTGTTCTGTTTGTAAATTTATCTGTATCTTGAACTATATCTGAAAGATGTAGGAAAAAGGTAAGATCATGAACATATAACTAACTACAAAATCTTGGTGAAAAACTAACCATCGTAAATTTCATTCTTGCTTTTAGTACTTTTAAGTTCATTAGATATCGCGCTCATAAGATGCTTTATAAATTTTGATTCGATTGCGCATTCTATTTGCGAAGGTACGATATTGAATTCTTCAGTATATTCTTCTCGTGGATAGAATTGCATACGAATATTATAAACCCTGCATCGAACAGATCCATCTGAATCTCGTTTGCTAGACAATCGTTCAGTTACTATCATTTGATCTACAATTTCGGCTAAAGTTATTTTGCTTATTTCTTGACAGAATTTAGAATACTCTTGCTCAGACACATTTTCAAGCAATGGAAGTGTCATCATTGGTGTCTTTATCTTTTCTGATGCTGTCATAATTATTTCACGTAAACGAGGAATACCGAGGGTGACGTTTTTCGCACCAAATCCGGCAAAATGGAAGGTATTCAACGTCATTTGTGTGGATGGCTCGCCAATACCTTGAGCTGCTAGTAACCCAACTGCTTCGCCGGGTTCAGCTAAGCTATGAAGGTATTTAAGATGCATAAGTTTTCTAAAAGCCGGTTTGGATATTGAGTCTGCTTTAAATAAGCCATCCGGATCCTCATTCGTATACTGATACACAAGTACATAGTTATATATTAACAATAGTCTAATGTAAGATTAAATACGGACTTGCATTTAAAATAATAATACCTTTTCTAAAGCTTTATGGAATTTCTCGGAAACACATCCTAGATAAGTACTCGGTGAATATCGAGAAAGTACAGGATCATATTTTTGAGGCTTCTTTGCAGCCTTCTTCGCATAAATAGACGCGCAAGAAGTATTCAACACTTTTTGTGCTTTTACAATATCGTACTTTTGTAGCAGTGCTTTGTGATTTTCTGTATTAAACTTAAACTCGTAAAGATGTTTTTGCTTGGTGATATCAAGTGAATCTTCCCCATAATGGAATTGAATAACAGAGCCATCACTATCTCTCACTGTATGATCGTAATGTACTTTTAAGCTTTCCAGGTGTTTAATGAGACAGCGTTGTAAATAACCAGAACGACTTGTCTTCACAGCCGTATCGATAAGGCCCTCACGACCGGCCATGCAGTGGAAAAAGAATTCCTGTAGAAATGCCAATTATTAAGAGTACTATATAAATAGTAAAGCTATTTTAATGTGTTCTCGTAATTTAATAGATTTTACCTGTGGCTTTATACCAGTTAAGAATCGACCACCAATAAATCCTCCTGCACGTGCGGAAGGTTCATAAGGCAGAAAAGATGGAAGAGTCTTTCCACTAATCATTACTGGTACACGACGACCTTCTAATTCCTGCTGGCCTTTAAAAAAATTCAAGATATTGCATGTAATGTGACAATATACACAGCAATAAAAAACAAAACCATCTGATGTATAACTCACCTAAACAACATGAAATTTGCGAAACGTTTACGCTACTTCCCTTTGCTCCAGATATGGTCATGGTTTGCATGTTATTATGCGGGAAGCATTTCAACTTATTGAGACCAAATATTTATTAAATATTCAATATGTATTTTTTTTCTAAATATGAAGTGCTTTTTCCTTTATAAGTATTTACCAGTTTCGTTGGTATACAATTTGAAATAATTGACGAGGTCAATTTATTTACACGCGATTTCATGATAGCGTCTAAGCCTTGATGTTTTTCACTATCACGAAATACTTCTTCCATCATACTTTTAAATTCTAGTACAAAATAAGAATAGTCATTCGTTTTTTAACATTAAAATAGGGTAATATTGATAGAATAAACAAACCTTTATCTACACTTGGTAAATCTGTGTTCTCGACAGAATTGCCTAGTCCAACATAATCAAAGGCGGCAATTCTGCCCAGGTCCATATTATCATTCATTAATTCCTTTCGTTCTTGGTCGCCTTCTGGTGTCAATCTCAAATCGTCCATACGACACGAAAATCCGTATCGTTGCATATAGATTGTAAATAAGCGGCCCATAACACTAAGAAACTGACCAGTAACATTAGCAGAATATAATTCATAACATGAATGAACCAATCCAAACGCAGAATCTCCAATTTGTGATTTATCAAGGACTCCAGTGAGAAATTCTCCATCAATAAAAATTACTGTTTCTTCTTCAGGCGCACACCATCCCCAGTACTTAGACGAAATCTTGGTTTTAGACCGCAAATTTAGAGGGACAAGACCAACAGTTAAATTCTTTAGTATGGTGGTTATCTGTTCAATATTGATATTAATCATTCAGTATATCTAAATTGTTGAATAATCTAGTATTGCCCACACCACTTAAATAATAAGTTAAACGTCATATGGTACTAAAAGTTAATTATATATCACATGTTCACTTTGTGACACGTGATGTATAACCTGTGATATGTTAAGTGGTGTAACTGTACTAAATAAGCGCTAATTTCGAATAATAACACGCATATATGATGCAAAAGTACTAACATACCATTTGTTTGCCAGTCCACAATGCTTTCGGTTTTTGTACAGCAGGAGGCACGGTCAGAATTCGTCTCGAATCAGAAGGATCTAGTCTCAGTGCAGAAAACACGATCTGCTGATAATCAGCCTTCGTAAAAAATGTATCTTTACAGGTCATCCACACACCAGCCACTACATGATCTTGAATCAAGCCTCTCAAGGGAGATCCCGATGTTGGGCCAAGATATTGTCGACTTGTGCTGCCTATTAGAAAGGCTTCAGCACGAGCAATTTCATTTTGAGGAAAATGCATATTCATTTCATCTCCATCAAAATCTGCGTTGTATGCCTTACAGTTAGCATAGTGCATACGAATTGTCATCTCTCCTTTCAACACACGAGCACGATGTGCCATTATAGATGGCTTGTGAAGAGTAGGTTGTCGGTTGATTAGCAACATATCACCATCTTGAAGATGACGATATATTTTTTTGTTTATGTATGGTGTCTTGACAAAATATTGAGTAAAAGATGGTTTGTCTTGCTGTTCTCTAAGCAACTGTTGTCCAAGGGATATGCGAGATTCTAGTGATAAACTCGCTAAATTTATCAAAGAACCATTCTCATTTTGAATAAATGTAGCACCTGGCCATATATCCGGACCATTTGACACAGCCTGGCTCAACTCTTTAACATTGTATGATGTCACCGGTTCTGGGTACGTCAACCGTTTGGCGAACCTAATAGGTACCTGTATATAAATAAGCGCAAATTTAAACAGCCCCGTCAATAGTCAATGACAATAAGTATACATAAAATTTCTAAATTTAAATATTATTAACTACCCCTATTTCATCTGTGTCAATATATGGATCGGGTGATATAACGGAACGTGCAGCATAATTTACGCGTTTGCCCTGCGGTGAAATACAATATTAAAATTAAAAAAATGAAATAAAGCAAATAAAAAATAAATTGTTATATAACACAAACCATTAGATGCTTCCGAAATAACCCTTCTTTCTTCTCCAAAATTTGTTTAACACCGGCGACTGGTTCTCTGTTACGCATTGGTTTTAAATTTCCTTTCGTATTATCAAACATGCCATTTACTGCATTCTGCAATTCGACCCAGTTTTTCATCAGGTTGTCAACAACATCTACGTGGCTTGTCTCATTATTATCTACAAGTATCTTGTTTTTATCCAACATTGCAGCATGAGTGCAAAGTTCTAGACGTGCGTTCAAAATTCTGGTAAAATGTTCATTTTGTGGATTCATCGCTGTCTTATTAGGTAAAATTGAAGCTGGACGAAAACGCGTAGGGGGGACAGCAATCGCGTCCATAAAGAATATATCTGCATGGACGGCCTCAGTCCGAGAATTCATTTTATCCAATAAAAGTACTCGTTTGCTATATAATAAAGAGCAAAGATCTGACTCATTCACAAAAAGCTTACGAAAATGTTCGCGTAATTCTTCCGGTGTAATATATTTTTTTGCTGTTTTAGAGTTTTGATTAACGTGTGATTGATCTTCTTCTATTGATAAATTCTGATCTTTCATAGCTAACTCTTGATTCTTTTGCGCTTTCGACGATAAAACGCATTGAAATATTTTTGAATGACCTTCCTTTTTAAACGTTCGACAGTATCTAAATCCATATGTAAACTGAGATACATTTCAGCGAGAAAGTTAAAAACAATGATCCTTTAACTTACAACTTGCAATTGCCACATTGTTTTGGAATAGATGACTTTTGCAGAAATTCTGCTACTACATTTTTACGTTCAGCATTAATTGCAATAGCGTTATACGTCTTCCTATCACTATTCTTCAAACATTTATTTACATATTGTTCTTTAATAAAGAAAAATACAATTAGATTAAATCATAACAAAAAATTCGCGTATAAATACTTGCCAAGCGACCGGAAATAATCATCAGAATCCAACTCAATTAAATCACTCTCATCCGATCCATGATCTTCATCTGCTGCTAATGCGTCTTCAACAGCAACCCCATCAATTCTTTGTGCGTCCAAAAGTAATCCATGGTTTAATAATTTGAGCTTGGCAGTATACCGAAAACTCTAAATATTATAAATTTTGAGATGAGGCGAAAATGATACGAAAGTTTCTAATCATCATTTTTACCTCCGTCGCCGCCAATTTAAACCGATGACAGTTTAAACAAATTGCCTTTAATAAGGTCAATGTGTGAGAAAAGAATACGGGATTATACACGGGACAGGGAAGTTGGATATGTCCAAAATGACCGGGGCAATTAAAGTAATCAAGATTGCATGTACCGCAACTATTTAAAACCATAGTAAATCATTATAAATGTTTGTTTTTTTTATTGTTTAAATTTATCTCATAAGGTTGACAACGCATACACAGCATTACGAGTAAGTGGCCCCAAAGCTGGATCATATACTCCACCCTCCGTAGGTAAACCCAATGAATCAAAAACAGCAGGGTTAACAATTTCTTTAACAGACAATTTCTTGATTTCATTAGAGGAATAACACGCAAAGGTTGCAGAATTGATTTCTACACCGAGTGGATGTGCGATATTCATATTTGCTGTAAGTATCTTAGAAATATTTGAACGTGTATTCTATGCTTTTAACGTTACACGAAGATCCTGGAGCATATCAGATATGGGTTTTTGCCTTAAAATTGATTTTCAAAGCAAAGACCCCATATGGGTGAACTTTCTGATATCTGGCATGATAAACCTAGTGTTTTACATCTATGTATATACAGTTAGACCTCTCTAAATGCATAGCTGAGGGCAGCCAAAAAATCTTGTATTTAAAGAGGTATTGTATTTTTTTTTTTTTTGATATTAAGATGAGGCCTTGCTTATATCTTTATTAATAGTTTTTAATATAGTAACTATAAATAGTTACTAACCTTTAAATATATAAGATATAAAAAGTAAAAATTATATGCAAAAATAAAAGCTCAGACTACTTTATCTGTGATTTAAACCTATTAGAGTGGTCAAAACTCAGATTTATTGTATTTACAATTATATATAGTATAACTTCTCCTTAATAAAATCTTTAAAAATTTTTAAATTAATTACTATATTATAAGATAATCTTTTTTTTTGTTGTTTTTTTTTTTTTTCAT